AGGTGGAGGGGGTCAATTGGGGGGAAAATGGGACACCTGTAGTACTTTCAACAATAAAGATAAATTTAAAATAAATAGATAGATAGATAGATAGATAGATAGATAGATAGATAGATAGATAATCCATGTTCATGGATTGGAATAATTAATATTGTTAAAATGTCTATACTATCCAAAGTGATTTAAAGATTCCATATCATCGCTATCAAAACTACAATGGCATCTTTCACAGAAAAAGAACAACTATAAAATTTGCATGGAACCCCAAAAGACCTCAAATAGCCAAAGCAATCTTAAGAAGAACAAAACTGGAGGCCTCATACTCCCTGCTTTAAAACTATATTATAAAGCTATAATAATCAAAACAGTATGGTACTGACATAAAAACAGATACATATATCAATGGAACAGAATAGAGATCTCAAAAATAAGCCCATGCATAAACAGGCAATTAATTTTCGACAAGGAAGCCAAGAATATACAGTGGGGGAAAGGACAGCTTCTTTAATAAATGATACTGGGAAAGCTGGTTAGCAACTTGCAAAAGAATGAACCTGGACCCCTAATTTACACCATACACAAAAATCAACTCAAAGGAGATTAAAGAAAGACGTGAATGTAAGACTTAAATTGTAACACTTCGAAAATAAAACATAAGGGGTAAGATCCTTGACACTGGGCTTGGCAACCATTTTTTGGATTTAATACCAAAAGTAAAGGCAACAAAAGCAAAAATAAAAAATAAAAAAATGGGACTACTTTAAACTAAAAAGCTTCTGCTCAGCTAAACAAAGAATCAACAACATTAAAAAGGATCCTATGAAATGGGAGAAAATATTTTCAAATCACACATCCTATAAGCAGTTAATATCCAAAATATACAAGGAATGCATACAACTCAGTAACAAAGCAAAAACAAAAGCAAAACAACTCCCCCCTCCCAAATAACCCAATTTAAAAATGGACAAAGGACCTAAGAGACATTTTTTCCAAAGAAGACATACAAATAATCAACAGTTACATTAAAAAGTGGTCAACATCACTAATCACCAGGGCAAAACAAATCAAAACCACAATGAGATATTAACCTTATATTTATTAGAACAGCTATTATTAAAAGCCAAAAGATAACAAGTGTTGTCAAAAATGTGGAGAAAGGGGAACTCTTGTACACTGTTGCTAGGAATGTAAACTGGTAAAGCCACTGTGAAAAACAGTATGGAGTTTCTTGGAGAAACTAAAAATAGAACTATCATATGATCCAGCAATCCCACTTGTGGGTGTATGCAAAGGAAAGGAAATCATTATCTCACAGAGATAGCTGTACTACCACGTTTATAGCAGTATTCTCACAATAGCCGAGGTAAGGAGTGATGTATTTCCTTCTTTATACTTTCCGATGTTCTTTGAATTTTTAAATGTTTTTTAAAAGAAAAATATTAAGGATAATTTATGCACAACTTTATTGGGTCAGATTATTTTATTTTATAATTACAAACATGCAGCATAAACAAAATGGACAGAAAACAACAAAACGGAGGCAGATAAATAAAAGTGATCTTGTATCAAATGTGAAAAACACTAAGCTATACAATTATATTGCTGAACAATTAATTTGTGCATTTGAGAGTTTAAAATTGCCATAATCATGAAGGGACTAGTGAGATAAATCATATAACCTTATGATTTTTGACACTGTAAGATATAACTTGACTTACAAATCTTATTTTATATTTTAGTATTATTCTTAACGTTTTGGAAAAAGCCAGGGTCGTGACATGTATTGCAGCCTAGCCATTAAGAGCCTGAGCTTTGGATTGAGACAGTTGTAATCTGGCTGTGCTGCGTATTAGCGGTATGGCCCCTTGGTCTCAGTTTTCACAATTGTCAACTGGAGAATATACTAGTGCTTACCTCACGGGGTTTGTATCCCAAACAATTACATACAACTTCGTAACTTTGGACACATTACGTAACCTACCTGTGCTCCCAATGCCTTGCCTCTATAGTGTGCTACGACAATAAGAGTGATTTCAGTCATTTCAGGGTTAACTGAATTAATGTAGCCAAAGAGCACAGACAGGAAATGGGACATAAAAATCATTCAACGGCCCTGGCCGGGGTTCGTCGGTGGTTAGAGTGTCCGCCTGCACAACAAAGGGTCTGGGGTTGATTCCTGGTCAAGGGCAGGTACTTGGGTTGGGGTTTGCTCCACACCCCAAGTCGGGGCACCTGCAGGAGGCAAGCAGTCCATGTGTCTCTCACATCGATGTTTCTCTCTCTCTCCCCCCCCTTCTCCTCTCTCTGAAAAAGCAATGGAAAAAGTATTCTCAGGTAGGAATTAACCAAAAGAATTTTTTTTAAAGACTCAGTGTTGGGAGAACTAATAGTAGTAGTATTACTGATAGTAGTAATAGTGGAATATATCCATTTCATTAACTCAGAAATACCAATACTCTACCGTAAACTCTAAAAAAGTCCTTGTTTTAGATAAACCCTCATTGAAATTAAAATTAGTTTCCTTCCACTTTCTTCTGAGGGTCAGATTCTGGATAACACAACTAAGAAAAATGAGTAATACTGCTGAATTACATTCTCAGCAAAATGTAAGTTGAAGATCAGGTAGTGAAAATATTTCAAATTATAAACAGGAAAGAATATTAGCATAAAAAATAAGGGAAATGTGGTTTCAATTAATGAGGCGGAGTAAGAAAATTGAGTAATTATAACAAAAAGTATCATTTGTATTTATGTATACAAAGAAAATCAGTATACCTTTGGCAGGATTTGCATCATATCCATATGTTTTGTTAAAAATATGACGATCACCAGAAGAAGGTATTATCCTTGAATCAGACACGGGATGGATCCCTTTAACACGTTCGGCTATCGCTTTATGCTGCTCATAAAATCCAAGTCTCCTTGGGGAGCTCGCTGCCAACAGTGGGTCCCCGTTTTGCAATACCCGATGCTCTTCCCCGTGAGCATCTGCGGGCACGGGAGTCTCTGAGTGACTCCCATTAACAGCAGGGAGCTCGGCGATTTGCAGTAACACCTCCTTCTGATTAGCAGCAGGGGTTTCTGGTAAGGAATTGGACTCAGCGCTACATCGACCTTCTAACCTGTGTTTCCCAGGAGACACGACGGCCCCGGGAACAGTCCCCACGCGGTCTACGGTTGCCTTCGTGACAGCAGCAGGACTGGGAGAGACCTGAGAGGTAGAATCATTGTGGCCAAAGTTGTCACAGTGGGATGCCATGCTTCCACTTTTAGAAAATACATCTGCCTCGGACACGGAATCCTCGGTCAAGGCTAAGAACTCGGAAGGCGTCTGGGCCGTGGTGAGATCAGCAGAAAGCAGCGGGGACTGCAGGGAGCTGCCTGCCCGGTCGGTCACATCCCCGGAGCAAGGCGGGGAAGCCCTGGCGGGCACAGGTTCCCTCTCTTGGGGCTGGGCAATTTCCAAAGAGAAGTCGGACTGCTGCACCAGCGAGACGGACTGGCTCTGGGGCACCGGCTTGGAAAACTTGGAGTGCGACGAGAAGGACTTGGTGAGCAGCTTCTTTGTGGACTGCTTCACGGAGCGGCGGGTCTGCTCCTCGGTGAACCCGGAATCGTCCCCCTCGCTTTTGCCAGAACTTAGGCAGTTGATGAAGACGTTCTTGTTGGTGGAGTGCTCCTTTTCCCTTTCAAAATCCTCCGTCAAAGATCTTGTTATCTTCTTATTTCTTGAACTACTGAAACCAACGGAATGCCTTCCCCTGGTTTTCACATGTTCTTCCAAACCCAGTTTTTGCAGGCCGCCGTGGCCAGGCTGAGCACCGTTGGAAATACTAAGGTTCTGGCTGGCGGGGTCTTGCTTAGGCTCGCCCCCCTTCTTGTGGTGGAAGCTGAGGGACGGGGTGCGAAAGATGCTCCTGCGTTTGCCTGTGCTCCCTGAGCTCGAGTTAGTGCTGGACGGGGAGGAACTGTGGACGCCGACTGTATTGCTGGAGGAGGGGGAGGAGGGAAGAGAGTCATGTCTTCTGCTGATACTTCTCCTGAATATCGGCAACCGGGAGACCAGGGTAGATCGTCTTGATCCAGAGTCCCCCATCGGGACCCCAAAGCTTGTACTGTGGTAGCCAACTTAGCAGCCTGGAAAAGTTAAGGCAGAAAGAAAAAGTCAATAGAATGCAATTATAAATAAGACATTTTTAAATAAACCGTTGTTCTTCAAGACGCTGAATACAATTAAGTTTATATTAAAACAAAAATAATAAAATTCTGATACTTAGGGATTTTATTTAAAAAAATTACAAGTAGCAAATTCATGTAATATTTTGCATAGTGATAGATTAATTAACGGTGCAATAATTACACGATTACCCAGAATATTTAAAGTCTATCCAAGAGTGCTGGGTTGGAAGAAACAAGATCATTATTCAAGACCCGGCCTTACTACTCACACTGGTTCCAAAATTTTTTTTAAATATGCTTTTATTGATTTCAGAGAGAGGAAAGAAGAGGGAGAGAGAGAAACATCAATGATGAGAGAGTTATTGATCAGCTGCCTCCTGCATGCCCCCTGCTGGGGATCTAGCCTGAAACCCAGGCATGAGCCCTGACCCGGAATCAAACCGTGATCTCTTGGATCATAGGTCGATGCTCAACCACTGAGCCACGCTGGCCAGGCTGGTTCCATAATTTGATAAGTTGTTTAATCTTAACTTTTCATGTCCATTTGTTTAGAGGTAGTAGGCATGTGGCAGCTGTGATCATTGCCCTCTGGGCAAAATGCCCCACTACTGGCTCTGTTAGCCAGCACCAGATAGACCACAGGATGCAATAAGTTATTAACCTGAGCTTAACAGAATCACAGGCCAGCCTAAGGTATGACCTGATACTAGAAACTCCACTCAAAGGAAAAACATCTAGAATGCATTCTTCCACTTCAAGCTTGATTTCAGAGGTTTAGAGATAATAAGGCCACTGGCAGAGGCAACTAAACCACAAAAGAATATAGTGTAGATTTTTAAGCAAGATAAAGTTATGAAGAAACCACAACTATGAGTTGAAGTCAAAGTTTGACTGAAAACTAATTCAACTGGTAATGTTGAGACAAATAGGAATAGAGACTGAGAGGAGCAGAAGCACAGAAAATTTCTGAACCGTATTAATATCAGGGTACTGATGACAGAGAAAGATGATGGACGAGGGGAACGTGGCAGCTATAGTTCATCAACTCGGACGTACCAAGTGGGTTTATGGTCTATCTCTTAATGCTTCTGAATGTAGAAGGAGGTAATATCACGGGACAGCAGAAAGGTAACTTGCCTAATGCCACACAGCTGACCGGCAGTGGAGCAGGAGCACAAGCTGAGCCTTAGCCAGCCGCAGGGTCAGCGCGTAACCTGCGCGGTGTGCGCTGCTTTCGCCAGCGCGAAGAGCCAGCAACTTGTGCAGCTCACGGCCCGCGCGCTTCCCTCAGGGATTCCTAGCTCTATGGTCAGTCTTGCTATTCTGGCGACTGCTGTTTTTCACTGCTTTTCACGTGTCATGATTTGGTTCCTGTTTTGATTTGCTTTGTTTCTAAATTTCACTTAATACCTTAATTATAATGTACACACCCCCTCTGTCCACCTGATGGAGGCTCTGTTTCATTTTGTTGCTTTTTTTGCAATAACAAATACTACATAAAATCGCAAGCCCTCCGCTTTATCATCTTTACTGATATGAGACTGAGAAAGAAAAATACTTACATGCTCTTAAAGAATAGGTGATCAAAATGGAAAATATTTTCTCTTTCAGATATGCATTCATATATAGTTAATATTTTGTTCCAAATAATATAAATTGTAACAGTTTTGCATTATATGATTTTTTGGATGATTTTTAATTGCACACACTGAATTTGAATTTAAATCAAACTATGTATGAACCACTTCCAATATATTTAAGTATTCTTCTAAGGCTTTGGGTGAAGAAAGCTTAAAATATAAACAAAAATATACTAGCTCTTGAAGTCTTTCACAAATTAAAAATATTTCATTTTCCTCCCAGCTTAAATTTTTCAAAGTGGATACAAAATATAATACAATTGTTTTCATGATTTCACTCTTAATAATGCTTTAATTAACTTCATTCTCAGCTGTGATTTTTCATTTACATGCAAGATTTATTTCCATCCAATGCCCAGTTAAGATTTTGCTCTAATTGGAGCATTATCAACTGTAATGATTTGCAGCTGGTGGTGAACCTATGGTCTTCAATGCATTAATGTCAAGATATTTATCATTTTTATTGACATAGTATCAGAATTTATGTATACTGAAATATTTCTTGACCCTTTTTTAGTATTTCTTGTAATTGTATCAGCATTTAAAAACAAAAGAGTGACTCAGTTCCACATCTCTTTAGTAAGTATTCAAAGAATATAATGAATAAAAAATTGGGGGGAAAAATTATAATAATTACTTCTCTTCCTAAGTACTTAATGACAGTGATCAGGCTTGCATTGGGTACAAATAATACATTTAGGTTACTAATGTATTTTTCAAAATTTCTTTAAGTAAAACATCATAGAGATACTAGGAGATATTTGCACATTGAATGGATGACATCGAGTGAACATAAAATCTACTAAAAATAAAAATCCTTTAGATTTTACTCTGTCTACTGATAGTCTTTTAAATGAAGTTCTTTATTTCCTACTAAGGGCTTTCCAACTAAACAAGAGACAGATAAAACATGTATAGTGTGAAATAATCCATATTTTTTAGAGAGACTCTAGAAGATCTGGATGCTATCTACATTTCCAGACTCATCATTCCCCTCCTCACATTTCATTCTCTAACTGCACTAATTATTCTTTCCATTTTCCGTCTACTTTTACAGTCTGGGCATTTGCAGATGTGGGCCCACCTGCTTGGGATGCCCTTCCTTGAACTGGATGTGGCAATATTCCTATTTCTGTAACACCATCCCTCCCAGGATGCCATCCCTGGCCCCCCTTCTCACTGTCTTCCACTTTAGATGCAATACTCCCTCATGAATCCTAAAGTATTACTTTATATAGTAAACACCTGTTTATTTATGACTTTACTATTTTACCTTAAGTTTCTTAGTAGCAAAGCCCATCTCTGCTTTGCTTTGAGACACACAATGCCTAATATAATGCAAATTAATATCAATAAAATAAATGGATTTCAGAAAATTAAGTTTTAACTTGAATACATCAGTATTTCAAAAATAAACATATTTGTTTCAGTACCATAAATAAATGCTATAATTTGAGGTTATGCTGAATTACAACTTTTAGTGACTCATAAGTTAATTTAACATATTTCAAACTGTAATATTATTCAATAATCTAAAATCCGCTAACATGAAAATAGAATGATGAATAAGTTTAATAAAACAGGATATCATCACACTAACTTCAATTATTAATGAAAGACCATTACATGTTAATTTTATTTTTATTATAACTTTAGTATAATTAGGACAATTACCATTAATTCCTTTGTAAACCTTGTATGCATTTTCATGTATTTTTTATAAATTTCCAAAACAGATAAAATAAACATTTTCTCAATTCTCCTCTAATGTTTTTTGGTTCAGAAGTCATAGTCAATTCAAACATAACAAGTCCTAAAAATATATGGGTTGGATTAGACCTTCCAATTGTTCAGGGGGCTTTACAACCACAAATATATTCTTCAAAACAGCACATTCATTATATAAGAAGGTTTTTTTTCAATTATACCTTTTAAGCTATATAAATAAGCAAAAAATACTGACTTGTTGGCAATATCACTACACAGATGCATACTGACCCTATCAGAAGTACTGTGCAACAGTGTGATCTCAACTGAAGAAATAGTATCCTTTGTGCTTTAGCACCAGGATTTAACAAAAAAACTCCCAGAAAGTACTTTATTCAGTAATATTTTAGCAAAGACTATCATTACCCATAACAGAGTTCAACATCATAGGGCAGATCTATTTTGAATAAAATGAGAGGGCAATTTCTTGTTTGGCATGGTTGAGGAAGATATGGATTCTAGTTAAAGGGGTTATATGAGTTGCTAATATGTTACCTATTTAAAATTAGAGTAAAATTAAAATGCATTAAAGAAGTAGGGAATACTGAAAGAAAAAAGGCTTCCATGATTCCAAAGGCATTATCCAAAGGCATAAAACAACCCTGTAGGGTTTCACAGCCATCAATTTGGAAACTGATTTCCATATATACAAACAGGTATGTCTTTCTGTGCAGGTAAAAGAAGCAAAACAAACCTCCCTTCACCTTTTCCTTTCCCAACATTTTTCAAATATTTCCCTAGAATTCTGACAACTCTCATATCTTTTCACTATAACCTGAAGGGGGTAGAGTCAGCCAATGTCCATTTCTGAGATAGTCCTAAGTATCCTTTCTTTGTCTCTCTCCCAAAACTTGATGGCATTTTATGAAAAAAGCAAAACTAAACAAAACATACCTTGGACACACACATGCAATTAACAAAAAGAAAAAAAATGGTTTCAAATCCAAGCTCCGCCACACTAGTATCATGAACTAGTAGCATGAACTAGAACATAAATAACAATTATTTTATAGTAATTTATTTTATGGATGAGAAGGTGCCATGTAGAAACCTAACACTCTGCCTGGTATAGAGTACATTTTCAGTTTCTTCCTTTTTGATGAAATGCATTCAAACAGGAGGGGCATGGCGGTGCAGCAAATACACAGAGTGATTATGGAAATGAGCTACTTTTCAAATGTGTCCCAAATCCTCTAATTTTAAAAAAAATCACCTAAAAATGTTGGGAGGAGATATATAAATTGAGATCAATATCCTAACCCCTTACAATGAATGAACTTCTCCAAAGTATACATTTTTATTGGAATTTAAAAACAATGACCAATATTTGAAATATTTGTGAGAAATATTGCATGAGAAAAATCTTGTCCCAGTTCTACTCTTTCTCAGAAAAGATTTCAGAAAATAAGCCCCATAAAGCCTAAATGAGCATGAAGAAAAGGAAACCTATGATATATGATAAAATGGAAGAAAGGAAACTCACAGAAACCAAATAGTCTCTAACAGTAAGAAAGTGGTGGCAGAAAATAAATCATACGTAAATATATCAAA